ACTGACCTGTGTAACAGGACACTATTAAGCCTACTCTATTTCTAACAAACCAGCACAGGACAGGACTGGATGCTGTGCTTCCACGAAGACAGCAACAAGCTGTGGGGCTCCACAGAATATTCTGAGCTTTCCACAGAGCTCTGGTAAGAATTTTAAAATCCGCAAAATGAGTGTCAAAGCTGGTGGACCTCTGCCAAAGTTTTTCAGGTGATGGTAAACTATGTGTATAAAGTCTAACAGTAGGATTGCAAAACATAACAGCAGGACTAAATAGCTAAAAGAATCTCCAGTTTTAGAGGCTGGGTTGCCAAACAGTGAAATAGTATTGCAACATTTCATTTTGATACTTCAAGCTTAGCATAATAGGGAAGCTTATGATAATCCAGATAATAATGTGAGCCTTTCAGATTTGTTACTTGATAGGTAGTGAACAGCAGCATATACATATATATCCCTGCCTTGCTGAGGCTGACACTTCTAAAAGTAACATCCTAAAACATCCAGTCTATTGTGCTGCAGATATGCAAGAATTAACTATCTTCTCAAAATCTAACCTTTTTATGGTGGTCATGTGAGAACTCAGAACAGAAGCATATCAAATACACTGTCAAATCTTGGAAAATTAAACTCAGATAAGAAATAAAATGGCATCAAAACTAAGCTCCTGTTCAGCTTACTACTGATGGTATTGTTAAAAATGGGGTTTAACCTCTAATTTTCACTAAACATGAAGTTCCCTTTCAAACTCCCATACAACTGCAACTACAATTTGAAGTAAAACAAATGAAATGCAGAACAGTAGCAGTCCTACAGAAACAAAATACTTGGTTACATAAAGAAAGACAAAACTCAAGCAAATCTAGCAGTCCAGGCTGGCCCCTATGTTTCTCATACTCCCAACTGTAATGCTGTATATTTTAAGGACTGCACACATATTGAACAATAGAAAACAAAACTCCCTAAAAAACTCCACAGCATTTATACAGATTGATTGATAGCCCTATATATTTATTTTTTTAAAATATCACCTTCTTATGTGGTGATTTCTGCAGAAAGAAGGTCACTATGGAAGAAACTTATTCATTTTGTAAACTTCACACTATCCCACTAACTGCAGATACTATTTTTAACTCTCCCTAGCACTAAGCAGACAGGGAATCCAAGGCACAGTGCCAGGATGTAAACCCACTCCTTCTGAGCTGGCTTTAATCATGTTGCCTTGCTCCTACTTGGCTCTCATGTTTGGGTCAGCAAATTTTCTCAAGGCTAAATCTGAATATATGCACACATATGCTGTGGATAATCTGGGTGTGTTTCTTCATGAAAAATTCAAATAAAAATATGGTGTGTTGCTCCTACTGAAAAGCTCACTTGATTTTCTTTTGGCAAGGTTCACCCAAAAAATTGCTGCTGAAAAAAGCCAACATCTTGTGTCTATTTATAACGCAGTTGGTTTACAAAAAAAAAAGTGTATCCTCTTTACAAGTTATTTTTTGTACTGCTAAAGTTTGTAGTCATGCTGCACAGAAAATTGAGGCCCTCAGTGAGTATGACCATAAAGTCAGGCCAGAAGTATTGTCTACAAAATGGACACTTGTTCAAAATTGTTCTCCATTAAAAAAATAAGTCTTGTACAAAAGCCTAAAGCAAATCTTACAGAAGGAGCAATATTTTCCATAGAAAGCTCTCTTATCAGTCGTTATGGGATTTGCACATCAGAGCAGCATTTTGGAATCTTAAATTATGTTCTTGGTTTTTTGTTTTTGTAGAGTATAGTACAGTAGCTTGTTTGGCAATTTGTGACTAACTGCTTAATTGCCACAGAAGTACCATGCCACTGAGGGCAGTCTGGTATTTATTTTCGTTGCCAAGTATGGCAGCAGGTCACACACACAATCCCTTCACCTTCTAATTTGCACACAAGCAGGAATGCATTTTTTCACCTTAGACTACCAAGGCTATAATTCTGCACACTGTGACAGAGCTGGAGCAGCAGGAATTGCAGACCTTTGAATTTGTACAGCACCTGAAGGTCAAACATCAGCTTCCAGCACAGGCTTTAGCTGGAGTTGGTGTGAAACTTCATTTCTGCCCTTCAGCCAAACAGCAAGCAAGCAATTGGTTCCTCCCTGGCAAATACAGCACTGTTAAATATACATTAGCCTACTCTGTTTTTATTTGGAAATTTTACTGTAACTTGAGATAGAGTTGTTAGGAATAATCAAACCAAAGCAAGAAACAAAAGATGAAGAGCAACATGAAAATATGCTCCAACAAGTTAGCACTGCACGTCCTAGCCTTTCACTGCTCTGTTACTGAATATTTACTCTATTTCAGAAATACTTAAGAACCCACAGACCACTGACTGTTCCCAAAGTTCCTGGGACATTGCTGCTTTTTGCTTTTTTCTGAATTAACATAACAGGAAACGCATATCTATGTCACATAATACATGAAATATATTTAACATCAGCATTCTAAAAAATAAATATTTATTTTTCTTGCTAGGAAAAACAAAATCCTGAACAGTCGGGAAGGTAGTCACTGCTATGCCCTGGAGGATAATATTCTGACTTCCCTCAACATGTTTTCCAATGCATCAAGGATCTCTAAACAGCACTGTGCAGATCTGCATGTTCCTGCCAAGGAGAGTAATGAAATAAAACATAACCCCAGTCACTTTAACAGAGCACACTCTTTGTTAAGGTTTATCAACATACAAAAATGAACTTAATGACTGAAACATACCTTTAAAGTCAGCTATAATGGGAGAGGGAAAACTGCAGAGCTAGGGATGGTAGAACTGGAAAAAAACCACACTTCTATGGTATTGGTTTTATCTTGCCCAACAGCTTCTACAAGTCTTTCACACTGGCTTTGAACAACGCTCTCTTTCATGCTTGCATTTTAAATTTATTTAATCCTTCAGAAAAGTGCCACATGCCCAATACTGTAGAATCCTACCTATCTTCAGCAGTTCCAGAGACGCAGAAGAAGATCCTCACCACACTACCCTTCCAAATTTCTAAAAAACATTATTTTAAAAAGCCTATCTAATTCTGAATACATAAAATGATTTTAAAAAAGGAAAATCATGGATTCCATGAGAAAGCCACCAGATTCGAACAGATATGAAGACAAATCACTACTACAAGTAGCTTCTAAAGTCAGGAAATGTGGTTAAATAGATACAATTCCTCCAAAGCATCAAGTAGAGTTTCTGAATAACATTAGGTCTCCAATAAAAAAATTTAGATGGAAAAAAAAAAAAGGGGTTCTTTTCTGCAGTGGTTCAACTGAAGTATTTTGGCACTCTTACAAATGACCCAAACTGAAAGGAGTTTTAACACAGCTATGTAATTATTAGCTTCTGACATATTTTTGAGGCTCTGAACAAAAAATTTAAGACATGTCATCCATGTATTGACTATATGGCATCAACCTTATCTGAACGTCATGCTGTGACAGCCTTTGAAGTACACCTTGAAAGTTTTTGTTCAGTTGACTCAACTAAAACCACACAAAAGGACATAAAAACCATATTTAGGCACTGCAGCTGAAGCCAAGACACAAAGTTTGATCTTTCAAAGGTAAAACGATACCCAATAGTCTTGCTGGTGCCGAGCTTGTCCTTTTTTTGGTCCAGAAAGAGTCTGCTAAGGGAGCAGTGGAAATCCTGGCGGCACCACCCTCTCTGAAAGAGGACCAGGTAATTAATTTCTCACTCTAAGTCCTAATTCCTTGCAGCAGGGAGTAGGGGTGGTGGGCTAAGCAGCCCATTTCATTTAAGAGGGATGGCTTTAAGCAGGCTTTGCCTCAAACAGTGAGGCACAGTTGCTGCTTATTTCAAGCAGGGTGGCTGCTACAGAGAGGCAGAGGCAAGGAAGGGAGAGCAGCTTGAGACTATCAAAGGCTTTGTGCTGATAGAGCATGGCTGCGTTCAGAATGAAAACTAACTCGATTTTTCAAAATACATCATTAACTTTTATACAATATATAACTTAAGACTCTAATATGGGTTGCCATGAGCCCTTTTAGTCAAATGCATGTGGTTTTGTTTGTGGGTTTTTATGCTCTTTTCTCTGCAGTCTTAAATACAATATCAGAACTAAACCCACCCAGCAACTGAAATACCAGAGTAATTTCAGATCTACAGGACCATCAAGAATATTTATTTGCCCACCTCACTGATCTACCAGATGCCACCTGATTAATACACCTGAAAAGGAGTAAAAAACCCCAAAAGGTTCATGGATGAAAACAGCCATACCCAAAACTTATGCATGTTCTCTGGTACCCAAAACAAATCACAAAATAGGAAGTCACATAGTTCATGCATCCCTGGTGTAATCACTTCCATATTTTTATCCTGCCCTGTGACATTCAGTATTGTCTTTTTATACTTTGACCTCTCCAGGGACAATACACCTGTTTGTCAAATGATCATATGCTGTCTTGCACTGGTGATGCTCTACTTTATTTTGGAACCCATGTAACTTCATATGGTCTCGTTGTATGTGTGTCAATATAAGGTGACAGACACTGTATTACAGGTGATACAGAACAGGAAAGCACAGAGCCTATTTCTAAATTAAATCACTTCACTTTGCTGCCTTAAATTTGGTTTTCAGCAGCCCTGGAAACACCATATTATTTAATGACTCTACAAGTAGATTTTTATCCTTGAAGGTCTTGTAGGTCTTTTTATCTTCTTGCAGTCTCTAAAGGTGTCTCAGAACAGCATGTAACAGAAAGGTGGAAGATGCCATAGTTCACATATGTGATAAAAGCCACTTTGGAAATAAACTCTTCCTTTTTTTTCTTGTCCCTGCACTTGAAATAGTATCTGAAACCACAAAGGAAACAAAACCAGGTGGCAAAGGACAGCTGGTATCATATGGGGACCATGCCAATGCTGCTGAAAATCTGCATGACCTACAGACCAGGCAGCAATCTCTGAGCTGGTCCCAACTCACTGCGGTATTCATTCACCACTTTACCTCAGAGAAACTCAAGATGTTCAGGGAGCTCCAAATGGGGAAGATCGATGGAAGAGATCCAAGGAACGGTGAGCTGTGCACATCAAATGCTGTACCAAACCTTAGCAAAGAGCAGAGATTGATAGGCATCAGGAACACCACTATTTCATAATGGCTGTTGAGAAATTAAATGTTTTCTAGAACTCATTTTTATAAATAACCAAGCATTTTGGTCAGAGATTTTCATCACCCCTAAAAATCAAACTCTCTTTGTTGCCAAGACACACATATGCTAGCTAAATCTTTTTAAAGTCAGATTTCTATTTAATTGTTTTTAAAAGAAACTGTCTCTGCACTGACAGACAGGACAAAAAAAAAAAAAAACAAACCTAGAAACAAATAATCAGAAGACAAGCCTTGATTTTGTATTCTCAGATACACACAAGCCCCTTTCTTTAAAATAGCCCTGTTATCTGGTCACTGTTTACCTACATCCACTCTCAGTGAAATACATAATTTCATGTACTTTGTTTTGCCTTTTTGAAAATACAGTTCTCCAAGACATTGCTTCTACTCCTCAAATAATGGGTGGTTTTCATGAACTGCAAAAGGAAAAAAATGAATTAATTCTTTCCACAAACATGACAGACAAGGGTATTTAAAACCATTCCCTTTCCTCTCCTAAACATTAGCCAGGAATAAAAAGGCCACATATCCATTTATAAATACTTTACAATTTTAATGTTTTTATTATTTACTCTGTTTGTGGTGTGGGGAAAAAATATTATGGACAGGATGTTCAAAACCAAAATTTAAAGATAGCTTTACAATCCTAAAATGAAAAGTACTCTCATTTTCAGGAAAAAAGAAGTGCCAAATCTATTAAGGAAATCAAAAATGAAACCTTAAGCTCTCAACTTTCAGTTTCAAAAAACGGGAATGCAAGACTTTTCATCTGAGGCTGTACAGCCCATGTAAGCCAGAGATAATAAGGCTGCTCACCAAACAATTCTGCATTCATTGCAAGCCCTTAACATCCATGCTTTCTTCTGAGTCATTGCTTTTCAGTTTCTCAACCCATTAATTAAATTCTGACCCACAAGAACTTAGAAAACATTTTTTTTGGTCCCTCCAAGATTTGTTTTCTTGGTAAAAACTGGGTCAACCTATATTTCTCATAGAAAATCTTTCCCTGGCAACCAAATTGTACTATCAACCAAATGTCATCTCTCCTATTTGTTACAGGATCCTTCAAAATCTACAGCATATCTATTTTGTCATGTCTGTTATACCTATTCAAAACACATCTTATCAGACAACTCAACCAGTGCAATACTTGAATATGAATTCCAACAATGCTGTATATGTGTACTTCTTACACCTTGACTTTACTGCCATTCAGCTCATGCTCCTATATCACACAAAAAATCGAAGTACAACAGAAATATGCATGTAAACTTGACAAACTTTGTTCTTCAAACATTTCTAAGTTGTATTTTTCAGCAAGAAACTTTATGCAACATGATATTCATAGAACATAAAAACCTCCTTTGGCTAGACTTTGTACTGATGCCTTGCTTATCCAGAACAATTGTCATACGTCCTTGCTTTACTGAAACACATTATCCAACAGAAAAGAAACACATTATTGGCATAGTCAAGTGTTTCTGACAAGTGGGCTCTCTCCTGCTCTTGTCTCTGAGCTTTTACCTCTCCAGCTCTTACCACAGCTTTATACTGTCACCAAAAGGCTTCATTACTTCTGCTTCACCTTGAGAAAGCCTAGACCCTTAACACATGGGTGTACACATGCACAAAGACACAGCTATAGATTATACCCACAAGAGTTGAATTCAACTGAGGTCTGTCCACCCTAACTTTTTCTTTTCCACAGTCAGATTCGATTACTTTTGAAACGTTATAAAAATACATTTTCATCATGCTTATAAGTTTGAGAATAGAAAACCAAAGAACTCATGAAATGAGTTCTTACTTACCTGGAGGAAGCAACTATTTTCACTAATAAGAAGTACAGAATAATTTGATTTAGGTTGCCAGTTCAGGTTTAAAAAAAATCCTCTCAAAACAAGCTTATTCATGTTTCAAGCAGGAAACACACGATCTAGATCAGCATGATGATAACAAAAAAACTGCAGAAAGAGATCATACCATAAACCTCTCCCCCAGAGAACAGGGAACTCAAGGCAATTGTCAAACTGCACACAATTAAAATCTGGTTTACAGAATAAAATCAGTATTTAATGGTAAAAATGTGTTGCTTGAAAATATTAATTAAACAGCCTTTTCTCAGTGGCTGCAAGAAGGGGTTATGTCTGCCATATTTATAAACTCTAACTTTTGGGTTAAAAAAAAAAAATGTTCCCAGGATTGTAAATAAAATCTGTCAAATATAAAATGAGACAATGCTTTCATCTGAAGTCTACATACAGTCTGCGCATACTTGATAATTCTCAAATGACAGCAACACAAAATAACAAATCTCTGGCTGCTACCCACAAGCTACCATACAACACTAAATAGACAACTACCCTTATCCACTCCAGATCGCTACTGCTTTGAACAGTTACGAGAAGCAGCAAACACTGTAGTAAGTTCTGAGGGAGAAAAAAAAAAGGCAAACATTTCTCTTCCCATCTCCACCAGTCAGATGGCTTCAGATGTCTCCCCTTGTAATGAAACAGCAAAAGAAAGAGACACACACCCACACCGCCAATCCAATAAAAGCATCTTAGCATCCGCTGTCATGCTGACCAGCCCTGGGTTTGACACTCTGCTGAAGTTCTACTCCAGAACACCAGCCACCTCACTGGATCCTACTTTTCAGCTCTGCCTAAAATTTGCAGGCTTTTAAATTAAATATGAAGGCGTTTCATGCTACTAGCTCACTCTCTCATTTTTCTCCAGTCACAGCAAATAAAGTTAAAAGATGTTATCTTCCCACCTGATGTCGTCAGAGCACATATTACACTAGCTTTTCACTGGTCATCTGTTAAAGAAATTCACAGAGAATGGCAAGAGGCAGTGCTTTTTTCTATGAATACCAGCCCTTTTTGTGATCATAGTGAATGCATGTACATCCTAAACACTGTGCAGTACAGCTGGTGGACAAAGTTACAGGCTTGAAGCCAAAACTTTCATTCTCACCTACATTGTTTTTTGAATTATCATGGGAGTACTCATCCCTCAAAAGTCAATCATTAACCCCTCACTTTTATAATTAGCATCCACCATTCAAAATTATGGCTAGCTGTCTTCTAACTCAGAGACCACCAGACATCTCCTGCACCTTTCCTTCACTGCAGAGTTACTTAGTCTGCTGGCAAAATAGACAATACCATGGCTTTGCAGTCACCTCTGGTGAATACGAAGTCAGCATAACTTCCACAGAATTATGGAACGGTTTGGCTTGGAAAGGGGCTTAAAGACCAGTTAATTCTACCTCCACTTCCAGGAACACACCTTCCACTAGACCAGGTTGCTCAAAGCCCCATCCAACCTCGAACAATTCCAGGGGTTGGAGTATCCACAACTTCTCTGGAAATTATCTTCTCTAGAGCTTCTGGAAAGACTATCTGACCCTTTACCTTCTTGGCCACTCGTTGATACCATGTGCCTCCAAACCACCTGCCTTGATGTAAACAGGTATTAGGGTTGCATAGTAAAGCAAATGAGGGAAGCAGTTTGGAAACATTCCAAAGAAGGTAAGGAAAAGCAAGCTTAACACCAGTCAATTCCAGGATTCTGTTTGCTGTATTCTGTTTGCACAAACAGTTGTGGCTGCCATGAGGACAAAGCTGAGAGGAAGAAACAAGGGGTTGAGTCTTGAAGAGGACAGGATCACTTTTCTCAGTAGCAGTGCCAACTTAGGTTGGCTGAAAGTCACTATAGCCTAAGATGGAAAATGAGGTTGTCTTAAAATAACAGCTGTGAAAAATACTTTCTGTGTTAATCCACAACACGAGGCTCATATAAACACTACTAACAGAAGTGAGTAAAGATCTTGAAAGCATGCAAGGACAGCATTAATTCTATAATAAACAATTAAGAGCTTAGAAAGCAGACTTTTAGAGCTAGTAACCTGCAGCTTGACTTCACCTACTCAGGATTAAACTTTAGCACAGGCCAACAGCTAGATACCTGCACAGGCTTAGCCAACCAAACCCCCAAAAATCGATAAGGAAACTCAGGGTGGGGAGGGGGGAAATCCACCTTCTTTTCCTTTTGGTACCTTAAAAAAAACCTGCCTGTTAATCAGACACTTGTGAATCACATCACTAGCTCTGCATTTATTATCCTCACTGTAGTTCAAAATCAATGCTCCTGGGAGGGATACATTCTTTATTAATGATAACAAAGTTTAAAAAAATCTTGACAGGTGTAACTGAACAAGATACATTCACACTAACAACTTCTCTCAATAGGAAGACTTTAACTACAGTATCAGTTTGATTTAATTTAATGCACACAAGAGCACCTTCCCCATGAGGAAAAGAAGGAAACACATATGGATAGAGCTTCAGTCAGAAACAGCCTTCCAAATGTAAATGTATGTAGTACTTTGCACGTTCACTTGCGTACTAGAGATTCACTATCTTTAAGCAAGATTGTTTTACAAACTCACGATACCACTACAGACCTACCCCAGAAATAAATTTGATTCAGTATCTTCTGCCAACAGCAGGAACCTTAGTTTGCCTGAACTCCTAAAAGGACATTGGGGCTCCTCCCCTGCCAGATAATGTTCCCCTCCACGCTCTTGCTGCGTGCTCTCCTGGCAGAGCACAACCCACAGCAGTTGCCAACAAGTTAAGCACAGTTACCTCCGCTTGGGATACTGCCTGTCCTTAAGCGAGAGCTATGAATGCAACCTAAATGCTTCCATGTTCTCTCTGGAAGTATGCTGGCTCAAATAAAAGTTAATATACCGAGAACTTTTCATTAGTTTTCTTAATACTTCCTACCCTCCTCACTTAAAACAACCCAAACAAACAAAGAACCCCCCGCAGCTGTTCAGTACATGCAGTAAGTCAGCTATCTTTTAACTGAAAGAGTTTTTCCTCCAGTTTGTGAAAACTGAGGAGAAAGTATTCTGACTTACTCAACCAAAGGACTGTTATCAAAAAGCATTTTTTTGCTGTCATCTTGCTAAATTGATTATCCAACCTACATGTCCACCCCGCTATTGCTCGCATACTCTAAACGGGAGGGAAAGAAGCCTCCCGCAAGTTTGATGTGTTAGCCAAAGCCGGCTAGTGAGGAAAACACAATGTTACTGCTAGGTCTCTTTTTCCAGTTGGCACTTTATCAAAAATGTCCCCACCCAAACCTAGCCTTGTTTGTAGCACTACTGCATATGTCTGAGCACGGCCAGGTGTCCTTAGCGTGACCCATGAGCACAACAGGACCCGCTGGTCACGAACGATCGTTCCTGCTCCACGGGGGTCCGAGGAAAAGCACCATCCTCCCCTATTCCATCCCTGTCCAGCACTGACAGCACCGCTGGGACGCTTTAACACAAATCCTGCCTCCTGCTCGTAGAGCACACTGCGCCCTTGCCATTGAGCTGCTGCAGGATGCGAGGCCTCCCCACGGAGGGTGGACCGGGAAGAAAGGGGCTCCACGTCGCCGGGCACTGCGATCCGCAGATGTTGGTACCCCCGGCCTGGCAAGGCACCCCATGGCCATGCGGGGCTCTGTATCCCCATCGCCCCCCGTTTCCGCGGAGCCCAAGGGCGCTGCAGCCTCCTGAGCTGGAGGGGCAGACCGGGGCGAACACGGCGAGCACGGCCGGCCCCGGGCGGGCTCCCCCCACGCTGCGGGCGGACGTGGGGAGGTTGCGGTCCCGCAGCGCCCCGCATGCAGCACCCTGCCCCGCCCGGGCACATCGGCCCCTCCGCGGCTGCGGAGCGCAGTGCTTGGGGTCCAGCACGGCGAGGAGAGGAGCCAAGCGGGGAGATCCCGGGCAGCGCCCCCGCCCCCTGCCCCCACTCGCCTGGTTGGGGTCGGTGGCCCGGAAGACGTGGCAGGCCATGGGGGAGTCAGGGTTGTCGGGCTGCGCCTTGATCAGGTAGGCGAAGTAGGTGAGGTCGTGACTGTTGTGGATGAAGCGGGCGATGTGCTGCGCCTTGTGCTCGAAGATGAAGACGGCGGGCGCGGGGCTGGTGGAGCGGCCGGGGCCGGCGGCGGGGCCGGGGCTGGCGGGCACGCAGCGCAGCGTGGGCGAGCCCAGCAGCAGCAGCACCTCGCGGGCCGGCACCCCGCTGCCCGGGGCGCCGCCGGGCTCCTGCCGCTGGCCGCGGCGGCGGATCTCGGCCACCAGCCAGGGCAGCATGGGCAGCGTGGTCCGCCGGTCCAGACACGACGAACCCACGTACCACAACCTGAAGCGCTTCTCCCCCGGCGGCGCCGGCTGCGGCTCGGGCTCGGGCTCCGGCTCCAGGGGGTGGGAGAGCGGCTCGCCCTCCCCTCGCTTCTCCATGGCGGGTGTCGGGGCGCAGGACGCGGGGCTCCGCGGCCGCTTCCCCCGGCGCCAGGTGCAGCCGGCGAGGCCTGCGCTCGGCCGGGGCCGCCGCTAAACGCGCATCCCGCCGGGCACGTCCCCGCCGCCGCGCCGCCTCCTGCCTGCCCGCGTGGGGTCAGCCCGCGGGGCGGGGAAGGACGGCCGAGACACCCCACTCCTCCTCCTCCTCCTCCTCCTCCTCCTCTACGCCCCGGGGAGGAGCGGCAAGGCTACGCCCCGAGCGGGCTCCGAGTCCTGACCACCCCTGGTTCAGGGGCGGGACAGCCCCGCCGACCCGAGCCCCCAAAGAAAACACAACGTGCGCTCCACTCCCGGTTCTGCTGAGTGCTGCCGGCCTCCCTGCGGCCGCGGGTGCTGGGCTTTGCCTGCGGCTCGCAGCGTGGCCGCCCGCGAAGGGAGAGGCAGGAGGAGGAGATCGCAAGGGGAGGAAGGTCGCCGAACGGCGGAGAAAAGGAGGTGGGGAGGCTGCCCGTGCCCGCCCCCACGCCCCGTTTGCAGAAGCTCCCAAGCGCTGTCTGAGTTGGTTTTGATTCTGACTAGTCGGAGAGTCGCTGGGGAGAAGCGGGGAACCGCAAGGAGCGGGGGCTTCTCTCCCGCGGCCGCCTCTTCCCCGCAAGGAGAACCAGCCGTACCGCGGCCGTGCTACTACCGAGTCAAGAGTTTCATTAGGGCTGGTTTTAACTTTACTTTTTCCCCCTAAGCTTGTGTTTCCTGCTTGAGCTTTTAACTAGGGAGGTTTTCCTCGTCGCTATCGCGATAACATCTCTTGTCAACGACAAATCCGCCACCTACTGTAGATGTTAGTAACTAGTCTCCACCACCTAAGAAAGTCGCTGGACAAAGCTTTGCCAGCCATACAGCATCCGTATCCTTTTGGCGATTGCCACTTATAGCGACTGTTTAAATCTGTAGCAGCAACGGCGGTAACTCCCAGTACACGTTGTTATGGCCACCGTTTTAACCCTGCCTACAAATAAAAAATCTGTAGCTTGAGCTGAAGAGCTGCTCCGTGTAATTTGAGACTACATGATTATTTGTGCAGAGAAGGGTCATGTAGCGCTCAGGTCACAGCCCACAGTAGTCTGAACTGACAAAAACTGCCGCATTTGTGGTATTTTCACACTGTTAGGAACCATTCTGCTCATTTCCTGAGCAAACAATTTTGCTCTTTTTTCCTCCAGTTTAACCATCTAGTTTATGCATTCTGCTTTAACGGTTGTAAGTTTCAATTTAATATTGTTGTTTGGTAAGACCTCAAATATATATTCTCTCATGGCATCCTACATGTAAGCCTTAAGGGGCATCCTACAATATCCCTTAGGACAGGGGAGATAATGCAAAAAGTCTTACGCAGGCCGAGTAAGTTCATATGAATATGAACCAGCTTTAATATGTGCTACAGTGGTACAAGCTAAAAGCCAGACTGGACTTGCTTTCCCAAACTGTTTTCACATTCGATCATGTGAACTACATTGTTGTACAGCAGATTTTACAATCAGGGTAATTAGAATAATGACCAAACTCTGTGGATCACAAATCTAAAAAGTTTCTTTTCCCTCACTCTGCACAGTTAATATTAACCCTTTGGCTTAGAATGGTATTTTAAGATTTTGTGCAGCAGCATTGCGGAATGACAATTTGTGAGCCTTTTATCAGTGCACCTGGAAGAAGAGCTATTTGGTTTCTGGCAGCAGCGCTGGCACTGGTTTAATGCTGCAATGAGCTGCTCCTTTTCTGCCAGTTCAGTTCTGTGAGCCGCCTCTAATTTAAGTGACAGCGCTTATAGAGAGAGCGCTGTTGGCACAAAGGGAGCGGGAATGACTGCTCGGGTAAAGGGAGCAGCAAGACTACTCGCCCCTTCTGGGTACGCTTGGTTAGATGGTTCATCTAGAGCGTGAAGATGCAATTCAGTCACTTGAGCACAAAGACCAATTTAACCTACCTG